TTAGGGTCTAGGGTTTAGGGTGTGGGCATGTTCGCAACCCCTGGCTGAAGCGGGCCTGGTACCGCGGCATCTCGAACGTCTCTCTCCTTCCCGATTCTGCTGCGAGGTGCATTGAAGACCTACACCCTGAAAACAAACGTCCAAGCCCAAACCCCTCACCGGTCTTGCACAACGACGGACTTCCAGTGGCCTCGCAGACGGGACGGAGTAACCCTAAACCCTCCTTATAAGTCCTGAAGCCTAGAGGCCAAACCACTCGCTGTGAGCAGCCCTGGGGACAACGGGTTACAGCTCTTATCTGTCGGAAGACACCACGTTTCAGTTGAAGCCCTTCAACTCAATAGGCTTCGAGTACCTCGTTTAAGCCTAATTGATTTTCCCGGGTCATCCTGATATTTCTGCATGTATGCATAGATGTACCTATACAGACATATAAACGGTTACATGAATGTAGATATACATGGAGTAGGTGGGGAGGTAGGTAGGTAGNNGGTAGGTAGGCAGGCAGGGAGGTAGGGACGTAGGTAGGTAGGAGGGTAGGGAGGTAGGTAGGCAGGTAGGTCGGTCGGTGGGTAGGTAGGTAGGTAGGTAGGTAGGTAGGTAGGTAGGTAGGTAGGTAGGTAGGTAGGTAGGTAGGTCGGTAGGTAAACCTACGAACCCAACAGACTAAAACCCTACTAGACTCCTACATCCCTACCCCCCAATACTATCCTAATACCTATGTAAAAGCAAATCTAAATCTTCAGCCCTCGAAGGACGTGCAGGACCTCGCTGTAGATTATTCATACTTGCGTACACACACACACACACACACACCGAGGCGATGTATACAAGCATACGCATTACTGGCCCATTCGTTTGTCTACTCGTTCATCCACCACAGCTCCACGCTGTTTTATTAAAACGTTAAAGCTGAGATATAACTATGCTCGTCCGGAGCGCGGCTTCAGTGAGTCCCCACTATTCATATCCACCGACTACCCTGAATTTGCAAGCTCTTCTCCATGCACTGCCGGTGTCCTCTCGCTGTCCCTGGGGCGCTGGGCATGGCTACCAGCTCTGGCGTGACAGGGCCCTCCGAAGACCTCGGGTGTTTAGAGGGTTTGGTTCTTTTCCAGAAGCCTGTTGCGAGGTTGCGGGGTTCCGGTTTAAGGTTACTGTAGGGTCTTGGGCTAGAAGCATTTTGCTTCTACAGTGTTGCAACCGTTCAGGGCCAAGCTGTTCTTCGGGTGCGAAAGACACTGAAGTCCTAAACGGCAAGAGTTGGAAACTCAAGCTGGAAGATTGATAGAACCCTAACCCCCCAGGTACCTACTATATAGGGTACTAGAGCCCCTGGGGCCCTATATAGTAGGCACTTGGGCGGTTAGGGGAAGCTGGGGGAAGGCCTAGGGTTGCTCTTGAAGAAATGGCCCAGGTTAGGGTTTAGGGTTTAGGGAGACGGCCGACAGTATGAGTCTTCTCTGGACGAGGGTTTTGCTTAGTCGTCCTGGCTTTGAGACATAGGGCTTACATCGTAGAGAATCCTATCCCTCTACTCCCCTTGGAAGAAAAAGTGACAAGAGTTTTCTCAGATTCTTCGAATCGCAAGACCATCCCCGCAATACGAACTTCTGGCAAAGGGGTAATTCCCTAAATGAGGCTCCCTTTTAGGATCCTTTTTATAGGGGTGCCGTACTATATTTGGGATGAAAAAGGGACCAACCCCATAACCCTAAATCCTAAAGCCCAATGGCCCTGTAGCCCAAAGCCCTATAAACCCTGTAACCCCTGTAACCCTTAAACGGGCTGGAACAGGCCCCCGGACCGGCTGCAAGACCTCCAAATCAAATCGGGCGAAGGCCTCGAATCATCCCACAAAGCGCAGGTCAGGGTTTGCCGAAACCCCCAAAGCTACGTAAAGTAATGGTCCAGCACCTATATAATGGCCATTTTTCCACATACTTTTGAGGTCCAGGCAGGGTTTAGGGTCTATGAAAGGCATTGGGTTGAATTCTTTTCTGTAAAGGGCACAGGGTTCCAAAGTTAATAGTTACGCGATTCAGGCATCGGTACAAAGTGCACCTGGGCCATGCAAAAACCGAAAAGTTTTCAGAAATTGATCGCGGCTACACTACTAGACAGGTAAGTATGTTGCATGGGGGCCCAGAGTTTCGGCTTCTAGAATTGTGTATTGAGGTTTAGAGTTCTTCAGGGCAAGGGTTTAAGGATTGCGTAGGATTTCTGTCGAGTTTAACAGCCTAAACCCCAAACCCTAAACCAAGATCGCAATGGCGATAAATCCCTAAAGCCTATACCTCGAACCCGAAACCCGTCAGGACATGATGACCCGCATGATGGGTTAAGGGTTGAGGGCAGGTATCCTGGTATCATTGTATTCAGCAGCCCTAAACAGCAGTCGTGTTTGTAATCAGGCCACTATAGCATGTAATCTGCTGCTACTTAGGATTGTAATGGAGGGCGTCGTTTACAGCTGCTCACCATACGGGCCCAAGTGTTCATTCAAGTTACAGCTGATATTTACAGGGCTTTCTAGGCAGAGAGTTTGCAGGGTGTTTGTGAAAAAAGGCTGTAGAGAAGTAGGTGCGTCGTTTTATACTGCGGGCAGCGTTTCGGAATGGAGGGTTGGGGTGTTGGGCAGGGCACCTACTTGCAGAACCGACTTAGTAAGTAACGGGCATAAGCTAACCTAGACGGGTTACGATTCAAGCAAAACTCAATTCAGGGTGTTCTCCTGGGCTTGGGCCCACTAAACTCGCAAACATGACCTAAAGCCCTTCTCCGACCCAGTCTAGACTCCCACAGCCCCAACTGACCGAAATCTTTTCATCCAAAACCATAGAGAGCCCCTAAACCCTAATCCCTAAACCCTAATCCCTAAACCCTAATCCCTAAACCCTAATCCCCAAACCCTAATCCCTAAAACCTATCAGCAGAATCCATCACAAAGCTGCAACTGCCAAGAGTAAGACACGGAGCCACTTGAAACCAAGCACATCCCAGGATCCTACGCCGCAATATAGGGTTTAGGGTTTAGGGTTTAGGGTTTAGGGTTTAGGGTTTAGGGTAGTCTGATCTTTCCGGGCAAAACACTGTCAATAGGGTTTCGGGGCTTACTGTGGCATAAGTATAGAAAGGAACCCCTAAGAAACATGTACCCCTGGTTGTTGTGACTATCTCGTTTTGTATTTTTCTTCTTGCTGGCACTGCGGTTAATTACTACTTATGCATCTTATGATCATTATTGCTACTGTTGCTCTTCTTCTTTCTTCAATATTACCTGTCCCTATAAACCCTAAACCTCTAAACACTAAACCTAGTGGTTTACGGCTTATAGGGTTTAGGGTCTGTTTAATGGGGTCTTTTAAAGTTGTCGCTGTAAGTAAAGCTTGAAGCGTTCTTATGGGCTGTTTGCCTCGTTTTTAGGCGGTCAGGGGATGCTTTAGGGGACGTGGTAAGGATCTAGTCCTTATGCAGGTAGCTACACTCATGACACATGTTCATGAGGTACTTAAACCCTAAACCTGAACACCAATCCCTAAACCCTACACCCCAAACCCCAACCCCTGAACCCCAAAGCCTAAACCCGAAAATCTCCGCAGCTCTGTGCAGACATCGCGGATCGCCTGGTAGAAATGCCCGCGCGAGTGGAAGCGGAGCGAGGGCAAGGACCAGAGACTGCTCCCCTGCAAGTGCACAAGCAAACCCAAGATCCAGAAGCTTGGGGATTTGTAGGGAGGTTAGGGTTTAGGATTTAGGGTTTAGGGGTTTAGGGGTTTAGGGTTTAGTTTAAGGTTTATGGTTCATGGAGCTCATGGTTTAGTTTAGTGTCTGTTGGACTGGAAGGAGAATAAAAAAGGGCTGAACCCCACTGTAAACTTACCGAAACCGTTTTGCATGAAGCTGACAATAAGAAAGCCTTAACAGAGGCTAAACCCTAAACTTCCCCAAACCCCTTGTTTTATAGGGCTCAAAGGAAACGCTGTATCATCGAAAAAAGCCCTGAGAAGAAGTTCGAGAATCCCTGTCTCCGGGAACTTAAACCCAATACGTAGAGTTTTGGGTTGCCGAAACCTCTCAGTTCCAAAGTCTATATACCTGTGGGATTTAGGGTTTAGGGTTTGGGGGTTTAGGGTTTAGGATTTAGGGTGTAGGGTTAAGGGGCTTAGGGTTTACAATCCAGGGTGTGTTACAATATACTTCCCGAGGCCTAAAGTATGCTAGCGGGCTCCGTGGCTTCGAGCAAAAAGAGCTAATGTTGCTCCTGCAGCTGGAAAGACGAAGGGAGTGCAGAGGCAGGGATTTCGAGCCTCTAGGTCTGAGTCTTTGGGGGTTTCGGGGTTTCGGGTTCGGGAGGGTTCAGGGTTTAGGGCTTCGGGGTCTGTGGATTTAGGGTTCAGGGCTTCGGACTTCGTGGGTTGGTGTAGTCTTGCAGATTGCGGCTACGCTTTGCCTTGAACTACCAACCATAAATCCTACGAAGCAGTGAGCTTTGACGGCCAAGCTTTTAAAGCTACGGATGCATCCAGGGCCCAATGAGGAGCTGCGTTTGAAGAATCGAACGAGAATCCGAGAAAGATTCGGGTGGTTGTCAAAATTATGGTCCCTTTTTGGGTCCTTGTTACAATACGGCACCTACTATTTAGGGCACCGGGCACCCCAAAAGGGACCATAATTTTGACAACTCCCATTCGGGTTCCGAAACCTCGAACCGGAACTTGTGTGCTTGTGTGGAGTGCAAGGAGAATCCTGGACCCAGCAATCCTGCCTAGAGGCTACATTATACTTCCGGTGTTTGGTTCAACCAGCTACATACATATATATATATATATACATACATACATATATATATATATATATATATATTATTACTATTATTCTTATTATTATTACTATTATTAGTATTATTATTATTA